CCATCCTATAGACAATATTTACCCTTCTATACACTGCTTGTGTCATCCTATACACAATATGTACAGTCCTATTCACAGCGTGTGCCATCCTATAGACAATATTTACCCCTCTATTCACTGTGTGTGTCATCCTATACACAATATGTACCATCCTATTCAAAGCGTGTGCTGTTCTATACACAATATGTACAGTCCTATTCACAGCATGTGCCCTCCTATACACAATATGTACAGTCCTATTCACTGTGTGTGCCATCCTAAAGACAATATTTACTCTTCTATTCACTGTGTGTGTCATCCTATACACAATATGTACAGTCCTATTCACAGCATGTACCCTCCTATACACAATATGTACAGTCCTATTCACCGTGTGTGCCATCCTAAAGACAATATTTACTCTTCTATTCACTGTGTGTGTCATCCTATACACAATATGTACAGTCCTATTCACAGCATGTACTGTCCTATACACAATATGTACAGTCCTATTCACAGCATGTACTGTCCTATACACAATATGTACCGCCATTTACACAGCGTGTATCTTCCTATACACAAAATATACAGTCCTATACACAGCATGTACCCTCCTATACACAATATGTGCCATCCTATTCACAGCGTGTGCCATCCTATAGACAATATCTACCCCTCTATTCACTGTGTGTCATCCTATACACAATATGTAGAGTCCTATTCACAGTGTGTGCCATCTTAAAGACAATATTTACCCTTCTATTCACTGTGTGTGTCGTCCTGTACACAATATGTACCTTCCTATTCACGGCATGTGCCGTCCTATACACAATATGTAAGTCCTATTCATAGAGTGTACCTTCCTATACACAATATGTACAATCCTATTCACAGCGTGTGCCATCCTATAGACAATATTTACCCCTCTATTCACTGTGTGTGTCGTCCTATACTCAATATGTACTGTCCTATTCACAGCGTGTGCCATCCTATAGACAATATTTACCCCTCTATACACTGCGTGTGTCGTCCTATACACAATATGTACAGTCCTATTCACAACGTGTGCCATCCTAAAGACAATATTTACCCCTCTATTCACTGTGTGTGTCGTCCTATACACAATATGTACTGTCCTATTCACAGCGTGTGCCATCCTATAGACAATATTTACCCTCCTATACACTGCGTGTGTCATCCTTAACACAATATGTACCTTCCTATTCACAGCGTGTGCCGTCCTATACACAATATGTAAGTCCTATTCATAGAGTGTACCGTCCTATACACAATATGTACAATCCTATTCACAGTGTGTGCCATCCTATAGACAATATTTACCCTTCTTTACACTGCTTGTGTCATCCTATACACAGTACGTACAGTCCTTTTCACAGCGTGTGCCATCCTATAGACAATATTTACCCCTCTATACACTGCGTGAACCGTCATATACACAATCTGTACCGTCCTATTCAAAACGTGTGCTGTCCTATAAAAAATATGTACCATGCTATACACAGTGTGTGCCTTTCTATAAACAAGTTGTATTTAGGTCTAATTGTTCCACATTTGTTAGGAATATGATTATTACATACGTCAATAATTGTCCTGGAAAAACATTCCGCCATGACGTCAACATTTCTGGATGATAACAAATGATCCCACTTTGTGTCACTTAAACTGTCAATCATTTCTTCATTATCAGCCATGTTGTATTTGTAGATTTTTCTTGAAAAATTTGCATTACTAGGTATGTTTTCCTGAATTTTTTCGAATATAGGACAATGATCACTGCATAAAGGATCACATACACCCGAACTCCACAGCACACATTAGTTAGTGTTGTTTGTAACTAATGTGTTACAAACAATAAATTAATCAAAGTTCTGGAGGTAGGTGTAATCCTGGTGGGCTCAGTTATAATTTGGGTCAACCCATATATTGCTTGCAAGTGATCTAATTTGTAATTCAGTTTCTCTAAAAATATCTAGATTAAAATCCCCAGCTATAATAGTTGGTATATTCAAATCTATTACATTACATATTGACTGATCTATCAACTCGCATCTTACCTGTACCCATAATGCTTTGAGTCCATTTATGCACAGATGATCCATGTTTTTAACACATAAATTGTTTTTTACAAACATAGCTACATCCCTTGTCCTTTAAACTCCTTACATTTAGATGAACAATCTTTAAATTACCATATTTTACTGGCCCAGGGTTTTGGGTGAACATCCCCGTAACATAGGAGAAGTATCAATACAATACTCGACGGTCTTAGCTTATAGATACAACAGGAAGGGAGAGAATCAGCAAGAGAGAGAAATTTGCAAGATGCTTTGCTATAAAGACTAGAAGCAAATAACCCCACCAGCTGTCTATAATGTGCTATCTCAACCGACATCTTGTTTTACAGAATATGTTGGTTTTTTACAGTGGACAGCGAGGGGGTTACGAGCGAAGTATAAGACAAAACATGACAAACACAAAATGAACTTTCAAAACAAAATCTATATACATCAACCAAAATTGTTGGTTGAAGAATCACATAACTGAAAAAACAAATAATAAAAAAGCAGATTAATTGGGTAGATCAAGATCAGCGTGGGTCCATCTCAAGTCTGCTTGTTGAACTTCCAAACGGAGCCTGATGATACCACTGTCATCAGCGCAGGATCCTTGGAACGAGATTCTACCTCACAGCCGGAGGGTGACGATCTGAGGGTAGGCAGCCATTCTTCTAGTGGCGACGGCCACATGCCACAGGAATCAGAGAACCCCGGTACATGAGAAGCGGATGCAAGAGAAGAAGAAGCAGCAGATGCTAATGTCAGTGAAGAACAGGACACAGACCCAGTGGTAGGAGCCACTGCTCCTGTCCCATCAGATAACTGACCAAGGCCAAGACCCAAGCCACCACCAAGGACATCGGAATGGCAGCGCTCAGGAGATTATGTGATGAGTCAGACAACATCAGAGGTCAGGGATGATCAAACTCAACTCATCAAACAGCTTGCGGCTGCTGGCATCTTTGAGCGAATTGGTGGTGCGATGTCACAGCTCATTGTCACTTTACTTAATAACACCAGCAAATGACAAGGACGTCATTTGGGTGCAGGGGAAGTATGTGGCAGGCTCAAGACCTTATGTACATAACTTTTAGTTAAGATTTATTTGTTAGTAGTAAGGTTATATGGCCTTGTTACCATTTTTACTAATTAGTTTATATTACAATATTTACATTATAAGAATATATAATTAGTTATAATATTAGTTATGTTTTATACCTTAGTATTTTATACCTTAAACATTCATTCCACAGCTCTGTAACATTAAATAAGCTTACTCTCAGTCTAACTTCCACTAATTGTCATACTGCATGCTTGTGACTTACAGCACTCTTTGCCCCAGCGTGCTCCAGCCCAGTCTATTGTCTTTTTAATAGGCCAAGCTGGCCATAGCTACAGCAATGTTTTGTTGTTGAATTTTACAAAATCAGTTGCTACTGTCACCTCACAAGGAAAGACCATTTATTTATTGCCGCATTCATTTCTTATCATGTGAGGATTTTGATGTGTGAAGGAATTTATTCATACTTAAGGTTAGTTGACTATATATTTTATGATGTTGTATATATGGATGGTTTCTAATTATTGAGATTAGAAATAATATTTATTGTAGAATGCATTCTTAATTTTATTTATTAGAAACATAATGCATCTTGTATATATTTATAGTTCTTGATGAACTCACAGTACAGTAAGTTATTATTATCTGTATAAGACAGTATTATCTTCTGTATAAGACAGTATTAAACATGAAACCTAAATATATATATATATATATATATATATATATATATATATATATATATATATATATATATATATATAAACTAAGTATTTTAAACCCCTCTGTACAGTAATGGAAAGTAAATGTATGTCTGTATGCTTGATGTTTGTTGGTAAGTGCAGGTGTATGAGTGTTATATGTCTGATATGAGTGGCTGTTGTACTATTTTTATACACTATTTTACCATAGGATATCTGATAGTATTCTGCATTTGTATTTCTTTATTATGCAGATTTGTCGGTGGCAACGTTCACCGTGCAATCATTGTTACCGGTATTACCAGTACAGGTTTCACCTATCTGGTATGTAATGTTCATTATCACTTTATTGTCATATTAATATATTTTGTATCTGTGTATTGATGTATTGTACGGATATGTCTGATGTATTGTGTAATGTAAAGTAAGTTCTATTCATTTAATGGAAGTGATATCTATATTTCAGAAATTTAAAGAGTAACTATAACGGATTGTATATATTTATTTCTATGTTATATTTGCTCATGTTGTACTTTCATTGTTTCAGGTTGAATGAAGTATGTATGTACATTCGTACCTAACAATAAAATAAACGTCATCAGCCTCACCCCCCACAGCTGTTTGTAATTATTTGGCCAGTAGATCGCCTATTCTACTATCGGCCAACACAACCACAACCACATAAAGCACCTAAAGGAGCAGACACATGCAAAGTTTGAAAGTAATCGGACAAGCGGTTGCCAAGCAATAGGGCAAAATTTTCCTTAAAAAATACTTGTTTCTCAGTTATCTGCCCTTGGTCGTTGAGCCTACGGCCTTGTGATTTTTGTGGTATCTAGAACTCCACTGTCTACATACACATACAAAATTAAATGCAAACGAGCCAGTGGTTACTTTGCTAGCTCTGGTACAAAAATCGGCGGAATAATAATACGTTATAAATCGGCCGATTACAATAGGGCTCGGAGCCCTAAAATTTCCAAGTCAGTGCAAAATATTCATAGCATGGTACATATTGTGTGTAGGACAGCACACGCTGTGTGTGGGGCTGTACTCACTGATTATAGGGTTGTACACACTGTGTAAAAAACAAAGACTTTCTATAATGTGTATTGGATGGTACTTAAGGTACAACACAAACCAAGAAGAAGAAAACAAGGTGTAAATGTATACAAGAAGTACCTGGCGCCACAATAGTTTGCCATCACATGACTTATTATCTGGGCATCTCTGTTCTTGTGGATTGATTGAGTCCTGCATTCATTTTCTTCAGACACTGATTTAGCTAGATGAGCAAAGTCGAATCTTGCCTTCTTTTTTTCCTTGTCAAAACCTGAAAGTGAGTTGGCCTGTACAATTAAGCAATGGGCTCACATTTTGAAAACAACTCAACAAAGTATGATTATGTATGTTATGGTAAAGGAATACACACTTTTATTAAGAAATTAAATGTTCAACAAACAAATGTTTAAACTTATCCTATTTCACACTATGCATTTCTTCTTATTCTTCGATCTTGGTGTGGAAACGCCCTAGAACAAAGTTTCCATCTTCAAGAAACACCCATATCCCATACATCACCAAATCACCACTGTGATCATGGGTCACGCACCACTAAAATCTCGTGCGACGCGACACCAGCGACCTGATCACCTGACATATCCATGGTGTTCGGACGCTATACTCGGAACAGAGAATTTTGTTGTTGTTTCTTTATCTTTATAAAACTTAAATAAACGACTTCACTTCTAAAGTTTTCCATTTACCACGAAGAGTGTGTGGTATTAATAACGATGTTTACAGTGTTTTACCTCGTCAGAACTGGATTATAACTTACTTTGCAAAATGTTACAGGCGACTGTTCGTCGGTTTAAAGCGTTGTCTACGGTTTTCGTGCATGCCTTTTTCCTCCGCTTTGGAACCCAAACGAATGTGTTACCCATGCGGATATGCCTTCGTCGTCCTGCTTAACAGGATATTAGTCCATTCGGCGACGGTTACATCGCTTTCTGTTAGAGGAGGATCGCTCTCCGTGTCGTTGGACTACCGCGATTCACACCTCTGTGCTGACCACGCCCTGTGCACGTGTCCGCTCCCTATCATCTACAGTCGTCTGTACCCTTAACCTTGACTAACTGTTAGTCAATGAAATCTTATTAAACAAATAATTTCCCGATGCTGATTTCATATACTATATAAAGTTCCTGTGACGCCAATATTTTAGTGTATTTTTCAAACAAGTAAAGTTTGGTTTTCAATATTGTAGTACATGTATGGAATCAAGTCACAAAAACGCAACTGCTACAGAAAAGCATGCATTCCATGCAAAAGTTGACTTTTATGCAAGCCCCACGCATTTCACTACCCAAGAATGGGTATAAAAACATGTGCGTTAACGGGATTCTATATGCATTGTTTAGCATCGTGCTGACAACAACAACTCAGAAAAAAAAACATTACGCAATTATTCAACATTACGAAATGCCACGCCTGTCTGAAAATGAGCGTCTGTGAGCCATTGGTATGCTTGAAGCAGGATCGAGTCAGCGTGATGTTGCAAGACAATTTAACGTCCACAGAAACACCATTTGGTGTTTATGGCAACATTGGCAACAGACGAATGCAGTCAAGAGACCATCCTCGGAGTGGCAGGCCACGCATAACCAATAATCGACACGAAACTGGATTCGAACAACTCACCTACGAAATCGATTCCAGCCAGCAACAGTGACTGCAAGAAGCATCCCTGGCCTTCGACAAATATCTTTACAAACCGTACGTCGTCGCCTCAGATGTGCAGGGATTTTCGCCAGAAGACCCGCCAGACGTCCCATTTTGACAGGAAACCACCGTCAAGCACGTCTACAGTTGTGCAGACAGCGTCTACGCTGGACGGCCATGCAGTGGGGACAAGTTTTATTCACTGACTGAGTCTCGTATTCACCTCAACCACAGCGATGGACGGATTCGAGTGTACCGACGTCGAGGTGAACGTTACTTCTTCAATCATTGTGTCATGGAAGAAGATCGGATCGGGGGCGGCAGCGTTATGGTATCGGGTGGGATTACAGCAAGACAGAGGACCCGTTTGGTAGCGGTAGAGGGAAATCTCAGTGGACAGCGCGACCGCGACGAGATCATCGGCCCTGTTGTCCTACCGTTTTTGCGTCGTCATGGCCCAGGCATTACCTTTCAACATTACAACACCCTGCCTCATATTGTCAATTTACAAATCAAAAGGGTGTGTGTCCACCTCTGGTTGTGATGCAAGAAACACATCATCATCCCATGGAATGGACCAGGCTTCGCACAAAGTCCTGTCGGATATCTGTCCATATCTGCTGGAGCATGTTTCGAAGTTCCTGGAGTGTCTGTGGAACACGTGGTTGACGTCGAAGGCGCCGATCTATCTAATCCCACATGTGCTCGTTTCATGAGAGATCAGGGGAGCACGCCAGCCAGGGGATGACATTCACGTTGTTTTGTTGAAGAGAATCCTGAACAAGTCGAGCATTTTTCGTGTTCATGTTTCTTATGAAATCACGCATTTTCTGAAGTCAGTATGGCAAATTAAACCATTTGAACTCTCACAGGAGTCTTTTATCTGTTGCAAACCGAAATTCTTTTAGATTTGGTCTTCTTGTATGTATTCTTTGTCACATGAACTTTTGTTATATATGGATTAGAGCTAGCTAGAGCTGATTTGAAATGCCTTTGTATACATAACTAGTTTGTTGTTATTGTTTTGGGTTTTTTCTCTCATAAAATAAAAAATATTCCACAGTCATCGTGCAGGACCACATTTTACTCAGTTTTGGGAAGTCGAGCCGCCAACTGAGGGTTGCCTCTTCCCCCTACTCGCTTCTTACTCGGTCATCCTCGCTTCTGCAGCGTTCTGAGGATACAGCTTCACCTCTCCGGCCTTCTCATGGAGACAACCCTTCTGGCCGAAAACAGGACAGTCGTCGTCGAGGAAGTGATCGTTGACTGACGACGGATCTTCACTCACACAGGATCATCATCCTTCGTTGGATCGTAGACGACCGAGGGATCGACAGATCGACTTCATTGTCGACAAGTCACTGCTCTTGGATAGACAGTTCGCCAGATTGTACCTCGGAGGATCGACAGTTCGCCTCTTCTACAGATGGATACCCGAGGGATCTCCGATCGACGATACACATCGATACATCGACATATCGTCCGATCAAGAACTCATCAGCTCGTATGACTTTACCTGCAGGTGGGTTACCATGGATAGATATATGAGAAACCTTATTTGTCCAAACACTGTAAACATACTTTGTAACATATTAAAAAGATGAAACTTGGCAAAACTGATCATCAAGGTTGAAATTAAAGTGTCAAATGTTCTTAAAGTGAAACACAACACTAGTCTCTGAGAAAAGGCATCACAAGTCAGTATCTCGTGTGTCTGCCATGTGCATTGATGACTGCAGTACAACATCGATACATGATGGATGAGGCGGTTGATGAAGGCCATAGGCACTTGAGCCCACACTCTGAGGAACACCTGACACAGTTCAGCTGCAGTTGTCGGCCTTGGTTGGACGTCATTCAGCAGTCTTTTAATCTTGTCCCACATGTGCTCAATGTGATTCAAATCGGGACTGTGGGCAGGCCACTGCATGGTTCTGATGCTATTCTGATGGAGAAAGTCTCTTGTTGCTCTCGCAGTGTGGGCACGGGGTTATCATGCTGAAACACGTGGTTGCAGCGACGTGCCAAATTAGGAATGTCGTGTTGTCTCAAGACAGACCAGACCACAACACTACAGATGACCGACCACGTTGTGGAAGACCAAGGGTCCCCACCCGACGTCAGGATCTTCAAGATCGCTTTGTTACTGCTGCGGAAACTGTTCGACAGACCATGGGGACACAGGAGCGACACATTAGTGCGAACACCGTGCGTCGACGGATGACGAGCAGACACCTCCACTGTCACAGGCCACACCGAGGACCCATTCTGACACCACGTCATCACCGGGACCGTCTTCAGTGGGCAACAGAGCACCAGCATTGGCGCCACCAGCAGTGGAGAAGACTGCTCTTCTCATGAGAGGGGCGTTACTGTATCTCAACAGCAGATGGCAGAGGGAGTCTGGCGACGCCGTGGGAAACGTTATTCGGATGCTTGTGTTGTTGAGAGAGACTCGTGCGGTGGTCCGAGCATCATGGTGTGGGGTGGTATTTGTCTTGCACAGAGGGTCGGCCCTGTGGTCTTACAGAACATCGGTCTAGGGAGAGGCAATGGTGTCACAGCAGCTCGGTACATTCATCAAGTCTTGAGACCACACGCCATACCTCATTTTGCACGTCAGCATGATAACGCCCGTGACCACACTGCAAGGGCAACAAGGGCAACAAGAAACTTTCTCGAGATTCAAAGATGGCTGAATGACGTCCAACCAAGGCTGACAACTGCAGTTGACCTGCGTCAGTCATTCCTCAGAGTGTGGGCTCAAGTGCCTATGGCCTTCATCAACCGCCTCATCCATTCCATGTATCGATGTTGCAAAGGAGCCATCAATGCACGTGGCAGACACACAAGATACTGACTTGTGATGCCACTTTGTCAGAGACTAATGTTGTGTTTCACTTTAAGAACATTTCACACTTAAATTGCAACCTTGATGATCAGTTTTTCCAAGTTTCATCTTTTTAATATGTCTCAAAGTATGTTTACAGTGTTTGGAGAAATAAGGTTTCTCATATATCTATCCATGGTGATGTTTGTTTTGCAGTTCAGTATATATTTTTAGCCTCGTTTTCTACCAGATACAACTTCGATTTTATCACACGCACGACTGTCAAGATTTTGCTATCGGTTTTAGAACACATTATTTGTGTTCTATGTGCTTGGACGTCGATTTAGAGATGAACTCATGTACACGTCAACAACACAGAAGTTCAACGTTCTACGCATGGTAATAGCTATTACACTTCGGACGACCTCTCAGATACCCCATAATCCAACCGTTTCAAGGCAACAGACGACAGCTTGAACTTTCACAATAGGAAGGAGATAACACACTTCATTGTCACTGCCGGTACACTATCCTTTGGAATTGCTTGGACCCCCATAGCTATGTACACGAGTGACTAAACCAATTGGCATTCGTCACACAGGAATCTGTGATACATTTTACCTGGACAAAGGGATTCAATCCCGGATATCAACAATTACTCAGACCACAACTGAGTTTCACTCTGAAATGATTAACTCAGCTAGGTTGATTAATAAATTATCAGAAGTCCGTCTTACAATCTTTCCAGGATCTCCATTCCTTGGGATCAGGTCCAAGGTTTC